CAAAATATATTTTTGTTGTTTCTGATGTTACAAGTTGTAAATATGGTCAAAATATATTTTTGTTGTTTCTGATGTTACAAGTTGTAAATATGGTCAAAATATATTTTTGTTGTTTCTGATGTTACAAGTTGTAAATATGGTCAAAATATATATGTTGATTGTCTCTGACACATCCTGTTTATTGCTGCAAAACACACATACATATATTCATGTTGCTTATGTCACAGGTAAATATTTATAACTTGAACATGTGAACAATTTGAGGACGCTGCATGGCCGTAAGCTTTATCAAGATTGCAGTGTCGTCTATCAAGAATGCCTTATTGTAACTGGATTTCCTGACTTGACACACAGATCTGTGACTTCGTAAAAGGTTATCACAGACTAGTGTGCTCCTGTGTTATATAACACGACCCAGTCATAATATTCCACCTGATCTAGGGGCCATCCAGGTGGTGGTAGATACTTGACCATGTGGGTGTAATTCCCTCTAGTCCACTTGAAAACAGATATGTGCAACATCAGGTGGTTGTTACAGTGGTTCCACCCTCTCCTTCTCTGCCTTGATTTATTCCCTTATATTAATTATCCCCTAGTTAATAGCTACTGTCTAGTTGATGTTAATTTGTTAAGTAAATGTCAGGAGTCAGGTCAGGTATCAAGGAGTGCTGATTAAAGGTGTTTCTGCACAGGTGAGAATGTGTGACTTTTCCAGTTGGCTGGGAAAACTTACCTGGAGGAACATATCTTTGTGTTGTTTATATATAGTGGGGTGAAGCAGGTTATTATAGTATGTTACTGGGGTATTAGGTGGCCTCACAGCTAGTTTTAACACTGTGTCCATCATTCAGAGAAACCCTTCAACTTTTACTTCATGTTTTGTCAACTCAGAAATATGTTCTGGAGTGACATGTTTTTAGCTGAGCTGACAGAGAAATGTGCCAATTGCCAAACCACTCTATTTTAACCAGTACACATATATATATGCATTGGCTGACTATTTTTACCAGTACATATTACATGTATCTGTACTCTTGAGTGCTGAAATCAGTGGGAGCTGTGGTGAAATCCCACTGTGATTTTTTGGCTTTATACCTAGAATAAATGTATTTATACTCAATTTTTGTAAAGACATATTTTTTGGACAGTATGAGAGATAGCTATTATCTTTATGTGGGCTCAGGTGGGTGTGTGAGCAGAGAGCACTGTGATTGGCTGAAGCCAGACACTCCTTCCAGACAAACCTTCCACATATGACCTTATGTTTTATTCAGTGATGTGGGTAATATGGCTTTCTATCCCTGTTGCTGTATGCTCTGATAACTCTCTATAATGGTGGAATCCCATGGAATTTCTTAGATATTTGTTTATGATAAATTTTGTCAGGGGTTGTGAATGTAACATTAAATTTTGGCCTCTCTGCAACCCTACAAAATTCCTTAATTTTTAATTGACAATCATAATATTGTGGTCATATTTTGGTACTCTTGCCATTAAATTACAGTGTTACATTTTTTCATGGCCAATTTTAATTAAAATTAAAGTAAAGTTTGTAATGGTACTCAGTTGGTTTTGGCAGCCTTAACTGGTCTAATATCCATCAAACCCACAAATATATTGTGTTTGTCCAGTTAATTTGTTAATTCATTCCTATATATACTAAGCGAGATGGAAGAGATTTAAAGTTATGACAGTTTCTTCAGTCAACAGTGATATGGAGATTTTTTTGTCATATTCTTCCGAAAGAGAACTTATATGATCCCTATCTTTTAACTAATAATTTTCAGATTTAGTGCTCTGTGAGTTTTTATGTTATTTTCATATAGTATGTATGATCAATAATGATTTGTGTATAAAACCAAAGGATGTTAATGGAGGATTGTTCTGTATAACTAGTTTTAGTTTGGATGACAGAGTAGAGAGAGATGAGTAAAAAATATAGTTATACCAAATTACTCTACAGTCAATACGCATCTTGAGCAAAAATGTTCATTAGATTGGTAGATGGAACATAAATGAAAATTATCGAACGCAAGCTGAAAAATTAACATACCCTCAGCTTAGCTTAGCATAGACCTTTATCATAAGAGTCCTGACTGCTCTACCACCTAGCGGTCAGTAAGTATCATCTGCTCACATCAGTCTGATGAAGGCCTATGTCTAGGTTGGCAATAAGTTAACAGTATGAAAAATGTTCGGCTTATGTTTGATAATTTTCATTTTTATGAGTCTATATCTTGATACTTATTATATTTTAATTTAAACATTTTATTGTGTAGAATTATGTTCAGTTGATATAGATATAGATGTTGGTTAGGTCCCTGTCATCCAACCAGTTTTCAGACATGTCTTCCAATGGTGAAATGGTTCACATTAAAGTTATAAATCACGATGATTTGCATTGTTTAGTGATTATCGTTTTTGAGCATGATGAACATGTGTCCTGTATTTTAGCTCTCTAGTATTGTCTCTTTCAGGAAAGTAGTATTCCTTTTTGAACAAACAGGTTATTCAGTCCTTTTGACGCAGGGTTCTATATATTTTACCTGTACCTTCCTGCTTGGTATTCACACAGTAGAGCAGATTTTTTTTTCTTTTTAAGGTAGTCATGTTGTACCTGAGTCGTTGTACAAACTACAGATAAGTAGCAGACGTTTTTGGAAAGGTGATAAATTATAATGGGTAATATAAGATTTTTTTGTCTGGACCTACACTCCAGCTCTAAAAGAAGTCATAGTTTGCAGTACAACAGATACAAATGGAGCCAGCAGAAGTCACTTGCATGCAGAGATATATGCTGGGAAACTCACAGACAGAATGTAGATGAAAATAAATTGTTTGAAGATTGGCGTAGACCTTAAGGTCATAGGAGAAGAGATGGAGGTGTAAGAAATCTTTTGATGAAAGATAAATTTGTGATATAAACATTGGTAAATTAAACAATATAATTGTACCATCCTAAATGTGCCCATCTGGGAATGTTATTTAGGCTTTGAATAGATCCCTCCACTCCCTACCAAATGAAAAAAAAAATTAAATTTTTTCTTGATATCTTGTTTTCTTAATTACTCACTTACTACCATCAATTACTCTCTAAACCTAAAAATATAGTTTGGATTTTGAAAGACCATTACATCTCTGTACTAGAGGTTTTATTATGTCAAGATGATGGAGAGTTATTTTTACAGACAATTGGAAAAATTAGACATTGAAAATCACATGAATGGCTGGTTCCCTTTCATTGGATTTAGGTTTCTTTCAGTGGGTCTGTCTCAGCATTGCCTGTTTCACAATACATGTCACCTAATATAGTTCACCAAGGACATATTGTACATTGTAGTTAAGCATACCTGTGATATCAAGTTATGATGATGAATATGATGTTTATTTTTCTTCTCTTATTTATAGGAAATGAAATGTGCCTATGGAGTGTTGATCATCGCTATATTCTGGATGACGGAGGTGATGCCCCTGGCAGTGACGGCGCTTCTACCACTGGTCTTGTTCCCCTTCATGAGTGTATCTACATCTAAGACCCTGTCGTACAATTACCTCAAGGTAATCTAAAATATCTCAATCAAATATCTCATATGAAGAACTTGAAAATTTCTATTGCTTTTACATGTAGTATTACTTTTACGTTTAGTATTTCTATTCCTTTTTATGTACAGACACAGATGTGTCTGTACATATTGCCATCATCTGCGTCTGTCGTCGCCGATGCCGGCGCCGTGCACTTTCCTTGTTTTTTTTTTCGCAAAGGATCGAGGCCCTGGGTTCAGTAAAGACATCAAACGTTATAATGCTTATCATCAACCTTGAAGATTAGCTGTTTGTGGTAACATTTTTATTGGAAAAAAATGACATTAGCCTGGTTATGTTAAAACTAGATGTTTTACATAATCTTTACTCTAGTTTACTATAATTTAAGTATTTTATTAGACTAAGCCTGACTTCTGTTTGTCTCTTTACTCATTTGACCGCATTCTCTACTGCCCCCCCCCCCCAAAAAAAAAAAAAAAAATCAGTAAATAAACAAATATAAGAAAAGTTTTAAAAAGATCAGTTTAGGCTGAAAAAGTTGACAAAATCTGTTGGAAACACTCAATTGACTGTAAGCAAACATTGACCTTGAAGTGGAGAGATGACTTTATGGTTGGTAGCTGTGCCTTAATGTCTTTTAAATAAGTCACTAATGCAAGATAAAAGTCCAAGATGGTTGACAGCACCATGGAGGGTCCCTTGCAGTCAAGATCAAGTCTTACTACAAAAGTCTACATGCACTCTTATTTCACATAATTTACTCTGCTTCACATTTTACATAAATGCCTCAAATGCGTTTGTTGGGTTTCACAAGAATGCCTCCATTTTTCTCCTCTTTCCACCTGTGACCTTCATGTTGTCAACACAAGACACCTGTCTACAAATGAGGATGGAGAATGCATTATCCGGTTAACGTTTCAATCTAATAGAAGTGCCAGTAGAAGCTCTCAAGAAGTGCCTGGGAATATGTTGATCTCAAAAACATCTGTTTACCAAAGCAATGGCCAGTTGTCTTATTGCGTATAACTATACCCTGGGTTTTTCATTCTTTCACTTACTTCTTAATTTAGACACAGATATTTATAATCCTTATTTCTTATTGGACGTGTTACACTTGAACTTTGCCCATTCAAGTTAATCTTGGATAGATATATATTTAAATATGACTACGTAAGTGTGAAGACGAGCTCACCCAGTAAACAGCCAGTTATACACACTATACCTTTGAGAACAGCTTCAATATTCTAAGGACCCAGTCACAGTGAATTTATTAACATAGCTACTGTACACTACTACACAGGGACTCTCCCCCAATGCAATCAGATTAACAGACTAACACCCATTTTTTTCCTACATACTCATAAATCACCAGTTTTTTATGTTTTACTCAAAATCAGGAGGAGGTGAGTTAATCTGATTGCATTCAGCAAGAGTCTCCATGGAGTTAGTGTGTGGTAGCTAGGTCATTTAATGCATTGTGAACAGGCCCTTAATGTTCAACACCAAACTACATATGCAGTATAAGGCAGCAATCCACCCTTTAGAATAAACTCCAAATATCACTTGATGTCAGAAGTAATTTGTTGATGTTGATTTAATGAGATGTTTTCCCTGTTCCAGGACACCAATATGTTATTTGTTGGAGGGTTGATTGTTGCTGTAGCTGTAGAAAACTGGAACCTTCACAAAAGGATAGCTCTCAGGGTCCTGATGATGGTGGGAACCAAACCAAAATGGTAAATTTAAGCAAACATTGATTTTTTTTTTACATATGACTGAACACCAGCAGTATTTGTAGGATTTCCAATTTGCTGTACATTTTGAAGCCTTTATGAAGTTGACATGGAATGATGATAATTTATTGAGCACCCTTTTTTTTTTTACATTTACAGGCTCCCTGAACTATACAGTAGAATAGTACACAGTGGTATATGTTAAATCTCTTCATATAAATATATTTATTTTATTTATTTATTTATCAATAACTGTGAGGGCAAAAAACTTTATGTTTTTGAAGTATTACACAGATCATTGGCGTTCGGATTTGCATTTTTTTCAATTCATCATTCACAAATTGTAACCATAGCAGCCATACCCTGCAGGTGGATTGAATACAACGGGAAGCCGCTGGTCTTTGTCTGTGATCCACAGGGAGGTTTTGCAAATTTCCCTTTTATTTTGAAGTTAGTTTATAAATTTGACAACAAGTTTACTGTCTTTGGGGATTTGGAATGATAGAAGATACACTTGAAGAAAAAATCATTCTGTTACACAAGTGAAAGTAACATTGATAAATTTGATTTTCAATCTGTCTCTGTCAGGGTTCTTGAAAATGGAAAGAAATTGAGTGAAAATGAGACAATCACATACATACCCTTAAACAAACCTTGCAAGCAAAACTTATCAAACAAAGATGGTTAGTGTTATAGGATGCCCTTTCCAAATGGCATGCTCTTCTAGTATCAACATCAATAGACTCATTGTGAGACACAACTATGAAATAACATGTGGGAATTATGTTATTACTGCACCAAAATAAAGTGTATTGATAAACTGTACTGAGTGCCATGTGCTGAATATTTCAAATAAGAGAAAATTAAGTTCAACTCTGTGGTTAAAATTTAATCACAGTTTGGTTACATTAGTTTAAAAAATGGCCTAATAACATTTTTTTGTTTATTAAGAGATAATTAACCAAAACAAGGATATGGTACGTATATTTTTCAATTCTGCTATGTAAGACAACAGTACTATACTTCCCTGTATAACATTGAAACTTGATGACAATGTTTTAACTGTTTTAGGCTAATGTTTGGATTTATGAGTGTGACTGCCTTTCTCTCCATGTGGATCAGTAACACAGCCACCACTGCCATGATGGTGCCCATTGTACAGGCAGTTCTAGATGAACTGGAAGAGAGCAAAAAGCAAGAACTGCAGCAATCATTCAAAAACCAAGGCAGTGAGCTGGCTGGAAGTATGGAAGAAATGGGTATGGGAAAGTTTGCCACGCTTTCTTTTTACCATTATTATCTTTGTATTATTTTACCAGAACAATTGAAGCATAAATATTTGCAGAATGTATTTATACATAGCATGTTTGCAGGCTTTAAAATTGAAATATTGCTAACCTTCTTATGTTGTTGATCTATGTTTTTCTTTTCGTTCCTGCCTTTACTTTAAGCATAGATATCTTGATAACACTTTTTTTGTGACACAAACATAAAATCCTACATTAAGTGCTTCATGGTGCTTTGGCATACCATGCCAATTTTGAAATAACCATAGCTGTTCTATGTTGAAACATGCTTACTATTCCATGTAGTCCCCCTGAACCCCCCACCAGACCCAGATGGATCAGACACAGTCATTGCTAGCACCAACACACTGGATGTAGTGGTGATGCCAGGGTAGGTTTTTTTTTTTCTCTGCATCAAGTCTCAACATTTACGTAACTGATGTTGTCAACATTCATATTCATTTATTCCTTTCAAAGGGCAATTATGGAAATATATTTTTTGATGTTATAATTTGATTTTTTGACTTTTTGTTTGGAACAAACTTCTAAAATTTATCATGAAAAAAAAAAAGAACTCTTTAAAAATCTATTTTTAGTTAACTGTTATCAGAATGGATATATTTATCTACTATAGTAATGGGTTTGTGAGTGGTATGAGCAGTACAAATGAGTTGGCCATGACAGAAGCCATGAAGAAGAGCCATGAGTACTTCAACAACATGTGTAAAGGGATGCTGCTGTGTATCGCCCATGCTGCTAACATTGGAGGAACTGCCACATTGACGGGGACGCCTCCCAATCTGGTAATCAAAGGACAGGTAGATACGTAAGTACATGCCCCTTGTATACACCCTGAATACCCCAGGTTGATTGCAAGCCCCCTGAATATCCCTGTTTGTAGACAGAATCAACATTTCCTTAGAGAAGTATGAAAATTGATTAAAATTTTTTTCTTACCATTGTGTTAACGTCAGGCAGTTGCTGTGCTCCAGTGCTTTCTTTACTGCTTGTTTTCTGAGACTTCTAATCTTTGACAAAAGAAATCAAATTTTCATGATCAAATTTTAAAGTAGCAGATTTAGTGATCTCTGCTTTCTCTTAAAATTCATTGTGTTCATATTTCCTCAGTTTTTCCTCAATTTTATTGTATACTACAAATGGATGTTTCATGTAAAATTTGAATGATTTGAAGAAAAAAGGACCTTTTTGATATTTCATCTGTATTGTTACTTGTCACACTGCTTTCTGAATGCTACTGACCACTTATTTACCATATTTATTTTTTGCTTTACTGCTTCTGGTCAATACGCCACTGTAGCTAATATAATAGTAGATATTGCCAAACAGCACATTTCCCACATATTAAGTTATGTATATTATTTCATTTTTAGGTCACAGTATTTTGTGTTGACCCAAGATTTATAGGGGAGAGCAGTCTTAGTAAAGTCAGGTTAAAAACTTCAAAATGGCCTTCAAATTTTGACCCCAAAATTGCAGTTACACCCAAATGTTTTGCAACACTCATTTAATTTGCATTACAAAAAGACATCTTTTCATATAATTTTGTTTATTGAATACCCCTCCATGGGACCTCATGCAGAAAGTACTGCCACAGACTGGTGAAAAACAGGCTGGGAGCAGACAAAGAACAGACAAACAACCACCCTTAAATGCATTCATTCATAGAATTTCCCCTTTTTAAAGAAAAATATATAAATGTGTTTGCCCCGAATATTTTACCTTTTTTTGGCATTAGTAATGTTGTATACCAGTCCTTCCAAATTAGACTGCCCCCCACAAGAGCCAGCAATACTGTTGATTTATGTTTAGCATAGAATAATAAACCAATTTTAATCAACACATGTGGCCTGAAGATTTGAATGATTTTAGAAGTGATAGAAGCTATAGAAGTGATAAAAGCTATAGAAATGATAGAAGCTGCTTAAGTGATAGAACCTATAGAAGTGCTTGAAGCAAATGTGTTGGATTTGATAGAGTAACATGGTCTAAACTGGTCCACTGATTAGTCTGTTTGGATTACTACATGCTTATTCAAGACTGCACTTGCTTTTTTACTTAATATAGTACATGTACTTGTTTTTTCAATGGAAGTAGGAGGAATAGATTAGAAAACATTAACATGATACAGTGTAATTGTGCTTATCTGACATAAAATTCTAATAGTCATGTAGTAGAAAATAGATTTGAACTGTTTTTAGATGAGATATGACAGACATCATTTTAGTTTTATAGTCTAGCTGTCATGTTTCAGACAACATTCACACAGATGCAGATCTTTTTGAAATATATGTCTTCCTATTGATTTGGGAAATCTATGAAATCCATTTCATTGAGAAAATGTATATACTGCCACTTTCAGATAGCCAGAGCACAATACAGATATTTCATTTTTTCAGTTATTTATTTTGTAAGAATCTGTGTCTGTTTGAATGTGGATAAAATATTCCCTGCTTTTGCTTTACCCTCACAGGCTTTATGGACCCAAGGCCGGGATCAACTTTATAACTTGGCTTGCGTTTGCTCTCCCTGTGGTGGGGATAACTCTAACTCTTGCCTGGATCTGGCTTTTCTCCTTCTTCATGGGATGGAGGTAGCAACTGCGTAGAGGATGTTACAGCAACACCCACAATTTATTTTTTGCATGTGCACTTTAAGTGTGGACCAGGACTGCATGAATATTGATTTTTGTTTTTTGCTTTATTGACAAGTGTCTGAAGGATTTCCCCAAAATTGGATATAATGTTAAATGTCATTACACGTGACTGACCTGTTTTGAAATTGTTGATTGATCAAAATTTGTTTAGCAGACATTTTTTGTTATAAATTGTATCTGAATTTGTATTTTCAGTGTGATTCAATTATTTTGAATGACATGCTCATCTCTTAATTATTTGCATGGTGTCTTTACATTTTCTGCTTATTCCTGAACTCTGCACTTAAGTCAGGTTTGCTGTCTACTTTTATCTCTATTCTCAGAAACAGCAGTTCATGTTGGCAGTGTTGGTTGAATTTTTTTTCCCTCGTTTTAGATGCATTTTGATGCTCTTTATGACCTTTATATTTCTTAGTGGAAAATTGCATACTCTCATTCCCCATTCTTTACAATTCCTGCATATATTGAGTGACTACATATTTTTGTTTAGGTTATATGGTTCAGAAGCTGGTATCAACTTTAGCTCATGGTTTGTGTTTGCTTTCCCTGCCATGCTGTTGGCATTAGCCGTTGCATGGGTCTGGCTAACTGGATACTTTCTAGGATGGAGGTGAGTTTTGGAGTCACTAACAGCTTGTGTAAAAAGTTTTGGACAGTTGGACAACTGATGTTTTGGACAGCTGTCTGTGGCGTGTTATATTTTTTTCATACACTGGTAAAAAGCAGTGTCAGGTATGATGAAAAGATGCGCAAGTGTTCTCCAAAATTATATGACTTTAACCCTGGGGTCTTCTGTGACTCTCTGGTGTGTTTTAAGTCATTTTTGAGGCTTCATGTTATTTTTTTAAGAAGATGAAGCTGATAGATAAACATTTATGTATATGTAGCCTCTGTCTTCTATAAATGGGCTCAGATGAGAGTGCTGTATTGGACGTCATTGGCTCTGTCATAGACCAAAGTAACTCTTGTCTTTAATGACCAGTTTGCCTTTATTAGCTTCTGCTTATGTTAGTTTGATACAGTTGAAAGGTAAGAGAGACGTAACAATATATTTTGTCTGCATTCCTCAGATGGGATGGGATATTTTAGCCTGCATTAATTAGCCATTATTGTTTTTTCCTCACCTTGCATCAGCCAACAACTAGCATTAATACACAGATGATGTTACACATTGTTAATGAAGAAGTGTTTCAAGGTGATTTCTGATGAGCACATCTCACCTTCAGTGTCCTCTTCCGTGTATTTAACAATCCCAATGAACGTGTTTTTAAAAGGGTGGAGTGTTTTTCACGTATGCCCAAATTAAAATAGTAGTTTGACATGTTTTCAGCGTTTCCATAAAGAATTTAGTGAAAGGAATGTGGTTTAGGGATCAGATGTTAAGGGGTGTACATGACAGAGACCATGTAGAACCTGTTGACATTTTTCCTCTAAAGAATAATTTATAAACAGAGGCCCTGAGTCCAAAAAGCATGACTGTGTCTGTTTGACATTGAACTGAATGCACCTCCTTCATGGACTGTGAAATGTGTTATATTAAAATAACTGAATCTGTGTACTAACAGATGATTAGAGATTTAACAGCAATCTTTAGCATTCTGTAAATTTATTTAGCCATTGATTCATAGATATAGTTTTCTTACCAATAATGCCTCTTAAAGGAGGAATTAAAATTGTTGAAAGCAGTAACTATAAATTTTCGTTTTTTTAAATAATATAAAAATTAAGTGCTATATTGTGCAACCTCACATTTATGTTTGTGTCCAGAGATCAGTATTCCTAAATTAGTTCTAGTAATTTTACCTTCCAGAACAATGTTTAACTGTTGTTTTAAAATGAAAGAGGAGGACAGCTCGGCTGCTGGGTATACTATAAAAAAAGCTTATGACAATTTAGGACCCATGTCGTAAGTAGTTGACCTTTTTCATTATCTATATTTTTTATATTTACTGAACTTTGGATATTATCTTGCAAGAAAATATATATTTCAACAGAATAAAATTGAGCAACATGCTTGATTCTCTCATTGGGGATATGTTATATATCCCTCTTTGCTGTACAAGCAGCCAAATGGTTAGTTTCTCATTGTGTCCAAAGAATATTTGGTTGGGGTTATGATCATGAAAAAGAGCAAAATCATTTTGGTACATATGTTCACATCTGCAGTTGTCCTCAGGTTTATGATGAGTAGACGTGACGATTGCTAATTGCCATCATTAAAGATTTTGATATATTAATTTATACTTTTTAGTATTGATATTTATGTTTCTATGTTGGTTGTATTTTCAGTTTTGCAGAAATCGTAGTTTTGGTAGACTTTATAGCGCTGGCTGTGCTATGGCTGACCAGAGAACCTGAGTTTGTCACTGGATGGGGAGATTTTTTCAAAGACGGTGATATAAGGTAAACTGTTTATGAAAGATTTTATAAAAAAACTTTCAGAGAAATTAAGTGGTGATATAAAAGCAGGGCAAATGTGACACTGGGAAACAATTGTATCTATTTTTGTTTTATTTTCTCATGTTTTTGTAAACATTTTATTAATTTATGTAGTAAAATACAATCAATATAATTATTCCTTTAAAAACATTGTTTTAGTTTCATTGGAAGAATTACAGAGAATATTTTTGTTTCAGTTATATCTCTGATGCTACCTCAGCTATAGCCATGTCTGTGTTATTATTTGTTTTGCCATCCAAGAGGCCAAACTTCTTCTGTCTCAGAGCAAAGCATGGTATGGAAATAACTGTATTTTGATTCGGGGTAGATTAGATCCCAAACTTTATCGATTAGCTGAAGATACATTGAATAAACCTTGGAAATTTTTAATTTTGTGATATCTTATTGTGTCTTGCACTCTTACAATATACAGATTTTTGCTCCATTACATTATTACCCTTTGATACAATACATGTACCAGTATGACAGTGAAAACAATCTTTTATAAGAGCTCAGGTTCAACACAAAAATTACGAGATTTCGCCATTTTCCCAAATTCCACCAGGAAAACATAACAATCTTTCCAAGTGACTTCATTTTGATGGAGATACTTCCCATTAATCAGACACTTAATCTTCTGTGAACTTGCAGATGACAGCCCCCCAGGACCTGTGCCCCCCATCTTGAATTGGTCCACGGTGCAGAAGAAGTTGCCATGGAATGTGGTGGTACTGCTTGGAGGGGGGTTTGCATTGGCCCAGGCCTGCAATGTAAGTGTTGGTGTTTATTGAGTTACATCAGTTTTGTACATTGTACAACTTTGTAATGGGCACTACATACATTTTAGTGCAAACCCAGCACACAATGTAACCAAGGCACTTGGCACAGTAAGACGGTTTAATAAAGTAGTTTGGCAAGCCCATGGAGTCTTGTGTCAGTAGCACTTAAATACAAGTTTTATACCACTTTACATGGAATGATATGTACTCTGCAATAGATAACACTTAACCATCTCAAATTTAGTTATCACAAACCTGTCATCCTTGACATATCAATGTGTAATCCCAACTGTATAAAATGTGGTGAAGCTGTTGTAGTTTTGGAAATATTACTGGTTGGGTCATCCATGCTACATATTGTAATGGCTGTTTTGTTTTATTTGTTGCAGGAATCGGGTCTGTCCAGGATGATAGGAGAAGCCATGCGGGTGTTTTCTGGGATACCTGCGGTGGGGATCATGCTTATAATGTGTATAGCAGTATCAGTATGCACCAACGTCATCAGCAATGTTGCCACGGCAACCATCTTTCTGCCAATCTTAGCAGAACTAGTAAGTTAGGGTTCACTGGTGTTTTTATGTTCTGGGTCTAAGTCCAGCACCCTTCATATAGCCTGTAGTATAGAAAGGTTTGATTTTAATGCTGTAAGCCACATTCATAACCACACGTATTAATTATAGAAAATAAGTTGCTGTTCTTAATAGTATACATTTAGATTTAAAATTACAAAATGCCTGGTCTATGAAGTATCCGACTATGGTCAAATATCACCACAAGAAATGATTTTTACCAATAACTGTGGCTGTGAGTATTTTAACATAATTTTTTGGCACATACTGTAACTGGATTTTGCAAAAGAAGGTCATTTCCACATCCCCAGTTACCCATCCTGTCATAAATTCACCATGTGTCCCTCACTTCCAGGCTGTAGCCATAGAAGTACATCCTCTCTACCTCATGATACCGGCAACCATTACTAGCTCCTTTGCCTTCATGTTGCCAGTAGCAACACCACCCAACGCCATTGTATACTCCTACGGACGGTTAACTATGAAGGACATGGTAAGTGATATTACTGTTTTATAAACATTTAATTATGCTTTCAGCATAGATGTCATATCTTAACCTGTAGCTTGTTTAGCAAAACACTTCGCCTTTTTTCTCTGGCTGCATCTGCATATCTTTATCTTACAATGACTACTGTTTGCCGTGCTTATTTTTCTTTCTTTTGCTTTAAGGAGGGCGTTGAAAGGGGAATGTATTACATGTTAGAAGCACCAGGTCATTGAGTGCAAGAAGTGACCACATAATTTAATATTTAATCTCTCTCTCGGGGAGTGAAGGAATCTTGAACCATTTCAAGGAAAGTCCCCTTGAAAATTCCTCAAACACAAAATGTTCTGCATACTACATTAGTTTGTCATTTCAAGCCTTGAGTGTTGAAAGTGCAGCCAATAATTTGGTTGTAATTTGTTATGTATGAAATGCTCTGTTTCATTCTAAACAGAGAAGCAGCAAATGCATGTCAGAAGCATGTGCTTATATATTGTGCAGTGATGTCCAAGTCACAATTGTCTTCTTTCACAACTAACACATTTCTCGCAAGGCAGGTATTGTGCAGTGATGTCCAAGTCACAATTGTCATCTGTCACAACTAACACATTTCTTACTGGGCAAGTACTGTGCAGTGATGTGCAAGTCACAATTGTCATCTGTCACAACTAACACATTTCTTACTGGGCAGGTATTTCTCTGTATGCCAATATTCTTGCCAAGTCACCACAAGACCGAATTGAAGAAAATCTTGTTTATTTGTTAAAGAATTATATTTTGAGACATCTGTCAGATAATTTATGATATAGGACTTGCTAGTTTGTACTTATTTCAAGCCTATGCATTAGTGATATATATTGGGGAGAGATATATATGTATAAAATGGGCATATCTTATATTTAATCTGTTAATAATGCTTTGCTTAAGCTTTGCTTCTCAGAGAGGTAGCAATATCTTCCTTGCTTTAAGTTTTGTGGATGGAATTTGGAATGAACCTACCACACGTGTCTGTAGACATAATGTGTGATGTGAGAGACAGTGTGAATGCTGAACAGCTCCCGCCTTGTGTCCCCACCATGTGTCCCCATCACGTAACCTGTTACACCATGCTTGACATTGTTGCTTGGTAAGTGGAGAAATCTTGCTCTCCTTTCAGTCATTTAATTAGAAACAGTGCACTGTTTGTAGCGATAAAGGTTGTTGTTTTTGTCAATAGAACTGCTTTTTGCTTTGCATGATACAGCATGATGTGGAGGTGTGCACATCTTGTCGAATTTTTAATATACAAGTGCCTTTCCCCTGCTTTTCTTTCTTTTTTATTCATTTATTTAAAGAAATAATTAAAGTTCTCATTTTGATCTGATTTATCAAGAACAATGCATCTTATAGAAAAAGTTGCTCTTGATGACAGGTAAAAAAATAGTCTTTATACTCAGGTTGATTAACAGTTTGTTTTCACATGTACAGCACACTGTATGTGTATTTGTTCCTTCCAGATGTTATCAGGCATGGTGTTAAACATAGTCTGTATGGGGGTCATTGTGCTGGCCATCAACTCCTGGGGTATGGCTTTCTACCACCTGGACACCATGCCTGAGTGGGCCAGAGGAAAGATGACCGTCACTCCTAACATCACCGCTAACACCACACTAGGGGGCGCTGGAGTATCTGTGGTAGGAATTCTGTCCGAAGCCAACACCACTGTGCCATACACGTTATAATACAGGAGAATTTTAGGTGAATAAGTGGAGATGGAACAAAGGTGGCCCTTCGCTTCTTTTGCTGACTGTGCTGTGGCCTTATTTTCAGGGGTATAAACGGTCTTCCAATTCTTCTGGGTGACACTGCTTTTCTTTAAAGGCACACTAATGTGATTGGCTTGGACTGATAGAAACCATGGAAGACTGTCAGTGTGGATGGAGGATGCCTGAATCATTGGATCTGTCCCCTGACATACTGTATATTATAGCCTAAACAGAAACAGATGAGCTTAACCTGTTTTAAGACTGACAGAGGAAGTAGACTGTATGTTTACAACCACCAACTATACTGGAATATACAGGGACAGGGGCGGATCCAGAGATATTTTCTGACAGTCTTCCAAATTATCCAAATTATCTTTGTTGATCCATCCTCAATTTTGACTGTCTTCCGACAGAAAAAAATTTGATACCCGTCAATGTAAACTTGAAAATCTGACCGTCTTCCGGAAGACCCAGAAGACATCCTCAATCCGCCCCTGAGTGATACATGACAGTTGAAGTGACTGGTTATTTGTTAGCAAGGATCCTTGAAAAGGAGTAATATTAATTTTAAGGGAAATTTAATTTTTTATGATCATCCTGGATAGCACACCTTTAACAGAATGACTGGGTAGAAGTTAATGGAGGGAAATGATGGCTCCTGATGATCATGATGCCATTCAATTACATTCAATTAAACCATCCACTTCCCGGGGCTGATCTTAGGACAGTTTTAGCATTCCAGTTTAGGGTCATCATAGAAATTTGGATCTTTGTGGATGTATATATTCTATATGGTTTTATTCTCTATGCATGGCACCATAAACTGGCAAAGCAAGCAATAAAATTTTATTTCATAATATTTATTGAGCACTAAATGTATGTTACAGTACATAGCCTTCACAGGCTACCTCTTTTATCATGAGTAGTTGTACTAATCCTATAGCAGTAACCTGAGCCTTATAAAATAAACTGTAGTTTGTGACTCAGAGCCACAGATTAGTGATTTCCGAGATGGAGAAAAAGGGAAAATGTTTCTCTTTTTCAACTTTGAAACTCCAAAAGTTTTAACATGCAGTTTCTTGTATCTTCCACCTGTAGTGCCTAGTTTTTTCTGTCAAATGGTTAGTTATAGAGATCTGGATAAAAGCAGGCTAAAACCTCACAAATTGTTCACAGCCAATCATGCAATGTTTGCAGTCTGTATTTCTACAGTTGGAACATGACATCACAGTTCAAGTCATTAACTTGGCAATAGATACATGTATCACTAATTCGCGGCTCCAAGTCACAAACGGCAATTAGAGGTGTAAGAAAAATATGTGATACGTGTTGCACAATAATTGATAGGTATTATAAGACATGAAAGGTGTTATTAGACATTTTGGCAGTTGGCATTATCAAAGTTTGTCTGTGTGTGACTTTTGTAGTGGCCATCATGTTTTTCAATGGAGTTAAAATTATTGTGAGGAATCACTTCTCCCTATGTGTAGATAATTTACTGTTTCCTTGCTGCTGGAGTTGTTAATAACCCCTGCTGCCATGCTCTGCACTGGAAGGTCCAGCAGCCAGTGATCTAGCTGATTAAGACCCCATTCCTAGATCAATCTAATAGGATCAATCCATCTCTGAGGGGTTTCTCGCTAAATTTCTTTCAGCTTAAGTGGCTCTGATGTCTGGCACACCTACTAAAGCTGTTAAGGGATAATTAAGTATCCTTTAGCAGCTTCAGTAGGCATGCCAGACATCTGAACAGCTTAAGCTGAAAGCAGTGTATTGAGTAACCCTTCAGAGATGGATTGATGCTGTTAAATCGATCTAGGTATGGGAATGGGGTCGAAGACTACTCTGTTCACCTGGTTGGTCTGTGAAGAATACATTGTAATTATTTCAACAAATTCATTACTGGCTGCTGCATGGCCCACAGTGCAGCATCCCAGATAAGTAGAGTATGTAAAATAGTTGAGGTAATCATCCTTTGTTCTCCCATGCATGATTCAAGTTACTGCTGAACCAGAGCTCAGTGTGGCTTGTCACCTAAGGGTTGATTACAATGTCTACATTAGCCCTGTATTGTCAGGGTCTGTCAGCAGCAAAGATATCAGTAGGGCACCAATAATATTATTCCATTTCTAATTGAATCAAGCAAACATCCTATTTGGACATTGTTAAATGGATGGTGCCATTTTAGTGGTTTGTTTGTGATTTTTGCAGGAGTTTCCAGATTGAGAATTTTCATATTCTGCACCAGACTTCACTTTTTATAAACTGCATATATGAAAATGTCATATTGGGATCCAAGATGGCTGTGCTCAGTAAAAAAAAATGAGTTCATTTATTATTAGTAGTAGTATTTATTATTATTTTTATTTATTTATTTATTTATTTTTTGGTATTGTTAGATTATAATGTAATTTGACTGGAGAGTACAAGCAGTACTCTTCTTGGAGTGAAGGCATTTCTTGAATTTAGTACTGAGATCTGTAAATAAAAAAAGAAATAGATGAAGTAGTTGAAGATAGATATAAAAAGAAGAGTCCCAAGATTAGAGCAGTTATTGGTACTTAGACCAGTGACCTAAGGCCAGGTGCAGTGTCAAAACCATGTCATTTCTAATACTGCATTCCCATAACCTTGTTGTACTAACTGGATTGATCTAACTCTGTGAGACTTCTCGCTAAATTGCATTCAGTTTAAGCAGCTTAAATGTCTGGCATGCCTCTTTAAGCTGCTAATAAGTAGATAATTTACCCCCTTCAGTAGGCATGCCAGACTTGTAAGTTCCTTCAACTAAATGCAATTTAGTGACAATTCCCCATGAGTTTTGTTGATCCCACTGGACAGTATGATAGCCTTACAGAAACAACCCCTAAGAGTAGTTCTTGTAAGATACAGAGGTCTCCCAGAACCTCACCTCTCTACTGTCAGCATGCCTCTGCCATTACCAGCATCCTAAGAAGCTCAGGGTGGTAAGAGAAAGTAATTTGCCTGTATTGAATAATGTATTTCAATTGAGGCCATCACATCTGTACAAGGAATAGGCTTTAAGATTAAAATGCAGGGATATTTGGGATGAGGACCTTAGAATATTTCTCCAGTCTTTCAAAACTGAAAAGACTTGTGTTGTTCAGCACATCGTAATCCATCAATTAAAAAATCATGAATGATAAGTGAGTTGTACATTTTTTTATAGTTGTTTAGCCATGTACATATGTAAAGGTTTTGCACATATATAGCAAGTATATCTATTAATTAAGGCTTGCTGTTGACTGATAAGTATTACAACTACATGTTTATGTTGGAGTTAAGGAGTATACCTTCCTAAATTTCAAACAATAAAATGCATTTTGCTCAATCATTAGAAAGGTTAATGAGAGGTTAAAGTTCCAAAATATAGATAATTTTGTGAAATAATCAAGGGTGGAAGATATTTTTATATATGATGGTTGCTATTGTTATAAATTGCATGAAAACATTAATGCACATATAATTTTTCTTTGAATGCATGCAGTGTTTATGCTTCACTTGTAAAACAGTAGTACTATTTTCATAACTATATTTAGAAGAGGGGGCAGTTCATAGATGGTAGAATATTTTGAAGAAAACTGAAAAAAAATGGAATATCAAATTCTGAATCAGATATCAACTTCATTAATTATATATTTAAGAATTTACATTTATTCATAAACATTTATGAAAATAGATGCTACCATTTTATATTTTTCGATTTGGCAGCAATTCAACAGCAAAGCCCAACATGCTTGTAGCACATGATTATTTGTTGTAGTTCTTATTGAGCAATATTCAGTGTGGGAGGTAATATTTTCATAACATTAAATGCAATTTGAACTTTTAATTTTACATTATAGGGACAAATTGAATTTTTTCTCTGGGATAAATGGCAGCTAGAAGCACCTGTTTATTACAAATGAGAACAAATTTGTCAACATGCACAATTTGGACTAGACCAAGGTTATTTCTTCGTTTCATTTTCAAATGAAACAGTGTTCAAATGAAAAGGTGATACCATGATCTACTTCAGTTCTGTTAACATAAACTGTGCCATTGTTTATTGAATAAGGATATTTTTTGATAAAATCATACAACTGCATGTCTCGTATTTTCCATTTGGTCAATTTATATGTATATAAATCTAATGGCTTCAATAAAACATATCTACATTTATCTTTAGCTTTCTTTTAACTTCTTTTAAAAAAAACCTAAGTAATTGTTCAGAATGTTGAATCATCAATTAGACATGAGTATTAACTAGTTTTGATCAGTATAATTAATCATATAAAGTCCAGACAATCATTTGCACTTACGTCTTTTTAAATTTGGAGAAGATGGCTCCACTACCCATTCAGGATCAGCACAAAATGTCCTTACGGCATTTCCAGGTATTGATTAGAAACGTGATGAACAAATTCAATCATAAAATTTTTGTCAAACTTTTTAACTAAATTAAATGTGTAAATTCAATTATATGCTTGATGGTGGAATCTCTCGTGTGGTTAATCTGTCTCACTTTATATACTTTTTGTGCGAAAAGACAATTGTATACAAAATAAAGTTTCAAAATGTCCAGAGAAAATTGCCCTCCGTACATGCAGTGTACCATAAGATAAGATTTTTAGTTAACATCACATTTAAGAGCATTATGTGGCTATCTTGTGAAAGAGATTAATGACTTAGTTTTAAAGTAATTAATCATGAAGGTTCACATTTAACAAATTGACCAATACAAACATTCAAATTCTATATCTGGGGTTTGCTTTGTCATTTGTATGCATCGAGTTCTGTGAAAGACTGGAGACCTGGAGTTTCAGTAAGCAGTGCCTTCATGGCAATCATGTATTGACATGTTATAGCTCTGATTTGGCACTTTTCCTGATAAAACTAAAAATTCTAATAAAGGGGAAAAAGGCAATGGACTCTATGCATATATCTAATCTCTTTCATGCACCCATACTTTTCAGGCACTGCTTAAAGACATTGGAAATAAAACAATCTGATCTAGTTTTATTAATTTGCTACTTTTTATTAGAATTATCAAAATTGATTGTGCTGACAAAAAACTTCAAAGTAGATGCTTCAAGGTCTTGCAGGGTTAGAGAAATGTTTAAGGGGTAAACATTGTGAAGATTGTCGCTAGTGCAGAAAAAAGGTTCCGTCTTAGGTAAAGATAATGGAGTGTTAGATAAACAACAGCAGGAGTTGACCTATGACCCACAGGTAAGGTGCCGTCTTAATATGACGTACATGTACAACTGAGACAGTTTCATGACCTTGCACTTCATTACTTCCTGGGCAGCTTTAAAGTCCTTGATGATAAGAAGTCCAAACAGGTAACTAGTTAAGGTAGGTAATTCTTAAGCCAAAGCAAATGGCCAGCAGATTTGCTTAATGATAAAGAAATATGTGCAATTCTTCTCCTGTCATTAAATATATGAATGAATCTGGATTTAGTTTGAATGGCATGTATCAGTCCAGAAACTCAGACAACATACACAACAGGCATGTAATTTACTCAAAAGTGGGAGAACTTAGTGTCAAGTATACTGGTTTGTAAAACATACACTTTATTTGAATGTTACATGATTTAAATATTATTTTAAAATGAACAAAATTTAACTTACCTAAAAATTGGCAGTTTTGGCAATCCGTTTCCTCAATTTCAGTCCCCAGATTTGATATGAGCTGTGTTAATTACCATTATCATTGCTGCCAAAGACTTTTCCAAATGTCTCTTTTTCACAAAAGGTTTTTTGAGACATTTTATGCATCCTGACAGGTTGCTAAGATCATGACCATGGTCAAAGTGGTCAGTTTGAGGAGTTGTAAATGTTGACTGAAGGGGTGGCCCTGGATGTAGGGACTTTATCTAAGTATGACAGGTATTCGTCTGTTGTTCTTTCAACATTAATGTAAAATAAAGTTGAGCAACAAAGATGTACTAGTAGGTCTAAATGTTCTAACAAACTGGCAGACAGAGGTTTCTTACTACCTAAGTGACTAGGGTATTAGGATTAAAAGGTGATATTACATTATTTCATGTTTTATTAAAATGGCCATGTCTCCAAATATGAGAATGACAACAGGTGTTTCAGAGCAGTCAGTTATGATTACGAGGTCTCTGTGATCTCCACAGGTGACAGGTAAGTGTGTGGTGATGGGACTATATGTCAGTATGATCCCAAAAGTGTCTTTAACAAGATTTTTTGGAAAGATATATGTCCTGATATATTTAATGGTAATGTTTAAAATTTAGCCATTTTTGCTGATTTTAAAGATGATGGTGAATGTCAGAAAATGAGTTTATCAGTATTTGTAGGGGTAACCTACAGTTTTATCAAGTGATAATGTAGTCTAGTTCATCCACCTGTAGGTATCTTATTCCATAAAAGTTTGTTTATCCTCAAGATGTGCTGCGTGGTACCAGGTTAGACAGTGCGTGCATGTGCAACTGTCTCTGTTACCAGTATATTACTTTACAGCATACCATCAGTTACACTCCTTGTACACGTAGTTTGTCAAAGTGCTTTTTATCTGCTGTGATGATCAAGAACTTAATATTGCAGTTGAATACATGATAAAGGAAGCAACATTAATATTATTTTGTTGTTTAATATTGTGTTGTTGCTATACTGTTTTGCAGTTTAACTTGAATGTGAGAATTTCTGGAATGTTACCTGCACGGATGATCCTGTCCATTATCAATGCAAAGTCATGTTCTTACTTATGTGGAGATACCTCACCTTCGACTTGGATTAGAATTGAATAGAAACAATTTTGTGCAATGCACAACATAAAATGCTCAAAGTTTAAGAACTTATAAATTGATTTCATTCATTTCAGTCTCACTCATCACCTGCATGCTTGGACTATAAATATTTGTACCAGCATTTGAAGAACTGTTGATTTAGCTCCACTCAGATTTTTCTGGATAAATGATAAACAAGGACATGACAAGAATTGTCTAGGAGAAGAAACAATAGATAGACAGCTCCTTCTTCCTCTTTGGAATCCACAGAAAACTTCAGAATGACTCGTCCAAACTTTTTCAAGCAGTTATGGTGGTTCCGTAGTTCTCTGTTCCTGTTCCTCACTCCAGTTGTGCTCCTTCCACTTCCTATTGTGGTAGCCGTACAATATCCAGAGGTATGAATAATTTAGGAAGAGAATGTCTGTTTTAACTTGCATCTCAATATGATTTTACAATTATGTAATGTCAATTATATTTGTGACGCTATTATTGTGTCACTTAAGATCATTCTTCCTGCTTTTTTATTATTTTTTTATTTATATCCTTATTTATGTAGCGATGGCGTGAAGCCAACTGTGCATATGCGTTGCTGATAATGGCGGTGTACTGGGTGACAGAAGTGATCCCATTGGCTGTCACTGCTCTTCTCCCAGTGGTTCTGATGCCATTGCTAGGTGTGATGAAGTCAGAGCCACTCTGCAAAAATTATTTAAAGGTATGTGTACATGAAGGAAATAGGTTTTGCAACAAAAAAAAAAAAAAAAAAAAGAAAGAAAGAAAGAAATTTGCTCCAATCTCTACAAAGTACCCCATGTTCTGAGTTATCTGTTGGATGCTGTCTCCTGTATTACTTCACATTCTTATCTGAATTTTTTCTGATATTCTGCTGGAATGACAACCAGCATTAATGAAACAAATATTATTTAGTTCCGATGATTTATGTTATAATTGTACGTGTTGCATACATACCATTTTTAAGGGTACCAATATCTTTCTCATTCTGATAAAAATTTCATTTTATTTCGCAGGACACCAACATGTTATTTGTTGGAGGTCTTATAGTTGCAGTGGCAGTTGAAAAGTGGAACCTCCACAAAAGAATTGCTCTTCGAGTCTTGATGATGGTGGGAACTTCACCAAGATGGTAATTAAGTACACTCAATTTCCAATGCATCCATTTTTTTACCAAATATTCATAAATTTTAAGTTATATATAAGGAATTTTATTACCAGCTGTGTTCTTTACTTTATATTTCTGTAATGTTTATTTTTATTTTAGGTTGATGTTGGGTTTTATGCTTCCAACCTGGTTTTTGTCCATGTGGATCAGCAACACAGCCACCACTGCCATGATGGTGCCCATTGTACAGGCAGTTCTAGATCAACTGAAAGAACATTCCTATGGGAGAATAGAAATTGCAGAGGAAAATGGTGGCATAAGTAACCCTGCCATGGATAAAGATGATGTTGAAGAAGAAAAGACTGAAAAGAAAGAGCATCTTTGAATCATTGGATTTTTTGTCATTAAAATGCCATATATACAGATACTGGATTAATGGATGTAGTTTTGAATCATAATTGTTATCTTCTTCTTGTTGTTTTTGTTGACAAATGACCAAAATGGTAACAATGGTGTTATTACTATCTCAACCAATACAGTCTATCTCTCTTTCTCTCAATAATTATCACTCTTACTGCTTTTGCAGGGGCATAACCAGACCTTTTAAAATTGTACGCACAGACTTTGAAAATTCCCAGGTACGATTATATTCCGTGAAAAATACACTGAATTTATGGAGAATAATATCATGGTTGGCTCAAAAAATTGTACGCACAGTGCATCCGTGCGTATGCCTGGTTACGCCCCTGTTTTGTATTATCACTCTCTAAAATCATTATGAAGTATTTATGTGAAATGATGTTAACATGAAGCATACTGAGAATTAACTTTTACTATGTACCAACAGGGATGGGGAGGTAGAAGAGAGAGCATTCACAGCTGATGGTCCAGAGGACAGAAAGCAAGACCCTGAAGTAGAGGCAGCATACAAGAAGCTGTGTAAATGTCTGTGTCTGTGTGTGTGTTACTCTGCCACCATGGGGGGTATTGCCACACTCACTGGGACAGGACCTAACCTAGTCATGAAAGGACAGGTGGACATGTAAGTATTCAGACAACCCCAGGCAAGGATTGTCATCATAGTAAAATGTTTATTCATCTGTCAGGGCTGTCTTAATTTGCACATATTATAATGTCTAAAAATATTTTGCCTAGGACTTTTAACTAAGGCATCGTTCACATGAAAATCCATTGGTAGTATCTAGTGATCACTGTCTGTGCCCTGAATACCCACGGCGTAATTAACTAGCAGTGGGAGCGAGTCATTTAACGTAACAGTTTCCAAAGCTGTAATTAATTCTCAGCTGTGCTAGGAGAAGATTCTGACGAAGATTCTGATAAAATCTCATCCTCTGTTGCCGCACCGCTTGCCATCGGATCATGATGGTTGCACTCATATCTGTCGTGTGTATATGGACCTCATCTTCTTTGTCTTGTTGTTGCACAAAATTGACAAACGCATTTTTCAAAGCAACCACGACGGCCATTTTCTTTCTCTCTAGCTTATTACTGCACATGCCTCCAGGTGTCAGAATCTCCTCCGAGCGCAACCAAGATTTAATTACAGCTTTGGAAGTAACTCGGTCATGCTGCTAGTTAATTACGCCACAGGGTATTCAGGGTACAGACCATGATCACTAGATACTGCCAATGGATTTTTGGAATTTGGATTTTTCATGTGAACGATGCCTAATATAATTGTCAATGTATAAAAGTCAAGCACTAGCTGTTTTTTTTTTTTCAAAAGAAGTAATGGAAATAATATGAAAAAATTACATAGATAAATAGCACCAAAATTATATATAGAGATATGCGCCGTCCTTGCAGGGGTCTAACAATAAAACCTCGGAGCCGTGATTATATCCATTTAATGGCGCATGTGGAGGCGTGGAGACAATCAGGGGATTAGTTGGCTCTTCTTTCATGTAGAGTCCGCCAAATTTGATCCGTGAACCGGCTCTTATTAACCCAGCTTTCCTATTTTTCAATTGTCTCTTTGCCAAAGGACATTCAGATAATTTGTTGTTTTCTTAACCAGATTGTTTACAAGGTATGAAGAACAGCCAGGTGTTCCAGGTGTTAACTTTAGCTCTTGGATAGTGTTTGGTTTACCTGCCTCAGTGCTGGGTCTGCTACTGGCCTGGTGTTGGCTACAACTTATGTTCCTGGGGTGTTGCAAGTAAGTAGACTTTTATCTGTCAGAAAAGAATTTCATCAGCAGTTTTATATTATAGGAATAAATTAGTATTTTTCAGGGGCGTATCCAGAGATATTTAATGACAGTCTTCCAAATTATCTTTGTTGATCCATCCTGCATTTTTTACTATCTTCCAACAGAAAAAATTAGATACCTGTCAATGAAAACTTGAAAATCTGACCGTCTTCTGAAGGACCCAGAAGACAGCCTAAATCCGCCCCTGTTTTTTTTCTCTTAAATCAACAGGTAATATTGAATTTGTTGATATTTCAATAAAGTAAATGGGGGGAGTAATTATTTCACTTGGCAGAGGCTATTCACCTGGACAGCCTCATGCCATCATGAAGATGCTCTAGATATACATTGAATTATTGAAGGCAACCAATTTCATTATTATTTGTTAATTGAAGAAGACATTACTAGTTTATGCTGAACTCTCAGCTATGACCTAAAAGTTACCTGAAATTTTGTCAGCTTTTTACATTACAATTATCAGGCCCGTAGCCAGGGGGGGGGGGGGGGGTTCGGAGGGTTCGAAAGAACTGCCCCTTTTGGTGAGAAAAGGTCCACTCTGAGTAAAATTTGATCTAGGCTCATATTGAACAAAGTCCACTTTTTCAGAAAAAGGACCCCCCTTTTGAAATTGCTGGCTACGGGCCTGATTATACTTATGAGTGTTTTTTACTTGTTTCTTATAGAAAGGAATTTATTTTCCCTTTCTATAAGTAAACGCATATTTGAAGAAGTCTTTGAAATACATATACTTTTAACATATATTTGAGCAATTGAAAGTTGTACATAAAACTGGTATGGTTATTGTAGGCCAGCAGGTCTAGAAGATAGGGCAGGGGTGAAAAGTGTCATCCGACAGGAATATGCGAAACTTGGACCAATATCGTATGTTTCCTTTTAATCTTTCTGTTCTTTATCTATTTGAAATAAATTTCGTGTGATTGTATTTATTTATTGGCTACTGAATGTCAAGAGCTAGCTTAATTTTTTTTTGTCAGGAACATTTTACAATAATGTACAAAAGATTTTTTAGATAATATTTACAGCCTTTCGTCATCAGATTTAAAAAACATAATTACATAAATTTTAAAGTCATCATTGATTTAAGGCAAAAGAAAATAATAATTTAAATATGTCTTCCCCCTCCAGGTTTCCAGAAGTGGTGGTTCTGGTTCACTTCTCCCTCTTGGCTCTCTTGTGGCTCCTGAGGCAGCCAGAGTTCATGAAAGGATGGGGAGATTTGTTCCTGGAAGAGTATGTTTTTAATTCTCAGATATTTTCTTTGTCCCTATTATGGCCTGGTTTTTCATTTAAAGTCCTATGTTAAAATCCCATCCTTAAGTTTGGTTTTTCTGTCTATTTTATTGGTTGGTCATAAAGTTCTTTTCATGTCAAAGAATGTATGTACCATAATATGGCCCGTAGCCAGGGGGGGTTCGGGGGGGTTCGAAAGAACTGCCCCTTTTGCTGGGAAAAGGTCCACTCTGGGTAAAATTTGATCTAGGTACATGAGGTTTTTATGGGAAAAGGTCCAGTTTTTTAGAAAAAGAACCCCCCTTTTGAAATTGCTGGCTACGGGCCGGCATTTATATTTTTTATATGGCAAGTTGAAATACTCTGATTGATCAGTTGATATGGAGATTTATGGACCTGTTGATAAAAGTGTCTTTTTTTTTCATCATTATAATAACTGTATATAACATTGGTCAAAAAGGTTGTCCCACCTAAATTTCACACAATTTTTTAGTCATTTTCTTCATATTTTTGGCACATGACCTGTAAACATAAATGCCAAATCAATTTCATGGGGTAGGTTGACCCCTCCGAAATACAGGGTGACACCTTGAAAACTGCTCCAGAGATTGCAATTGTCTGAGCGGGCAAGACACATGGGTACCCGAATGTTTGTCACTTTTCAACCCTATAAAGCCTGGGTTGGTCTTGTATCTCATTCTCCATACCCCAGACAACGAAAGAAGTTATTTTATAAGAAACTCTGACAATGCCACATGCAACAAGCATTGGGGTCCGTAACCAGATGATTGCATTTGAAGCTGCAGGCCTTACCCAGAGAGAAATTGCCAGACGCCTTGGGGTGTGTAGGAAAACAGTCACTAGGGTCCTACAAAAAATGTCCTGCATGGAAATATTGAACCTGGGAGATCCACTGGTCGTCCACGAGCCACCACCCCTCGCCTGGACCATACATTGCTCAACATTGCAAGAAGAAACAGGAAATTGTCAGCCAGAACCATTGCTTTGCAGTTGCAGGCACGCCGTTTGGTGAGGATTTCTTGGGAAACCGTGAATCGCAGACTCCTGCAGTTTGGATACAGATCCAGGCGTATGGCCAAGAAACCGCCACTAAGACCTAGACATGACAGGGCAAGACTACGGTGGGCATGTAGGCATCGGAACTTGACCATCCATCATTAGAACCATGTTGTCTTTGCTGACGAATCACGGTTTGTGCTGTACCCCACCTATGGGCGAATGAGGGTACGTAGACTTGTTGGGGAACATCTGTTGGCAGAGTGTGTGCAGGAAAATGTCGCTGGAGGTGGAGGGTCAGTGCATGTTTGGGGAGCATTCCATGCCCATGGTCGTAGCAGATTGGTTCTTCTGGAACAGAACGTGAACGGGGCAACTTACCGTGACATTCTCGAGAATCATTTCATTCCCTTTGCCAGAGGTGACTTTCAGGACAATTTCAGACTGCAACAGGACAATGCCCCTGCTCACAATTGTCGTTTGGTGAGGGATTTTGTGCAGAGGAGCAATATTCAAATGATGGAGCAACTGCCTTCAAGTCCAGACACCAACCCTATTGAACATCTGTGGGATCAATTAGGGTGCGCGGTGCTAAGGAGAGACAACCCACCTACTAATCTGGATCAACTTTGGCAAGCCCTCCAGGAAGAATGGGGAAATATCCCAGAAAACTCACTCGTGACCCTTGTTGAAAGCATGCTGCGCCATTTACAGGACATTATTACAGCACGTGGAGGGCACACATGTTATTAGTCATGTAATTTTGAAAGATTACATCCTGATGATACTCCTGTATAAATTTGGTGGTATTTGGTGGTATATTTTCATTTTTATGGGCATTTCTTTTGCTGCTGTACAGCATCTGTATTAGGTCAGATTTGAGGGGTTATGTGATATAAATCTTAATAAATGTTAAAAGGTATATTTATTTACACCAGTATTGTGTTCTTTTCTACACTTGGTCATGTTAGATATCGGTTTTTGAATAAAAATCCCCATTTAAAATGGTTTACAGCTGTCATATGCAATCATTTGTAAACTTAAAAACATGGGATTTAGGGTGGGACAACCTTTTTGACCAATGTTGTATATATCTATTTCAGTTATGTATCTGACTCCACTCCTGCCATAGCTATTGCTGTCTTACTGTTCATGATGCCCAGTAGGAAGCCAAACTTTTATTGCTGTCAATCCCAAGATGGTACAGTTTTTAGGATTAAATATAAAGTCTCACATACATCTTTATTTACATCCTATTTTTGTAATTGATCAATGGCAGTAGATTTTACACTAATAGTCCTGTGTTAAAATGCCATCCTACCCATTACCACCTTTAATTATTTAACTGTGGCAGTATTCAGTTTAAGTTATAGCACTGAGGGGGTATTGCCTGCAACATTGGGTACAGGAAATTAATTTTTCTAGTTGGTTTCTTAAGCTTAGAACTTCTTATATGAATATCTGACAGAAATTAGTTGGGAATTTTTGAGAAATCCTAAGTGACCGCATGAAACCATATAAAAGCACTAGCTTAGCCAAATGAATCATGGTTTTGATCAATA